GCCAACAGGAAACTATCTGTTCTTTGGTTGTCGACAGAAGGACAAAGACTTTTACTGTGAGGCAGAGTGGCAAGAACTCATTCAGAAAGGCTTCTTGACCCTCATCACTGCTTTCTCCAGGGACCAAGTGAGTGGGAATTGGGAGGGAGAGTCATGGGAATGATAGCATGAAAGACAATGGAAATCAAAGGAGTCAGGGTGAGGAAGGGGGGCGGGGCGGGTGCTGGACCCAGCAAAGGGGAGGTTTTGAGTCAGTGACTACTCTGGCCCAGAGGGTTGAGAAAATAACGCAGCATCTCTGCAGGAGGAAAAGATTTACGTACAGCACCGTCTGCAGGAGCACGGGGCATTGGTGTGGGAGCTGCTGAGCCAGCATGGAGCCTACTTTTACCTAGCTGGGTAAGTCTTCCCTCCCTTCTCTCCCTCTCTCTTCTCTAACTCCTCATTCCCTTTGCCCTCAGGGTTTGGAGAGGTCTATGGGGGGTTGATAGGCCAGATTCATACTTTGGAACCCAAAAAGGGCCCGGGGCCTAGGGGATCCACTGGAATCTTATAGTAACTCCCTCCCTCTCCTTTCCCTTTTCTTTCCATCAGCAATGCCAAGTCTATGCCCGCCTCTGTCTCAGAAGCATTGACCTCACTGTTCCAATCCAAGGGTGGACTGTCCAGCCCTGATGCTGCCACCTACCTCACCACACTGGAGCGGGCCATGCGCTTCCAGGCTGAGACCTGGGCCTGATGATCTTCACAACCCCCCTTCCCTTACAAGGGCTCGGGCCTAGGACTGACAATCCACCTTTCACATCTTGATCCTGAACACATTTTCCAGGCCCTCTCCACCCACTGTGTGACTCGATCTCAAGGATTTCACCCTGTCCTAACATCTAGATGTTTTCCTTTACAACTGGGGAAGCTGATGATCTTCAGTTCCTCTGAGAAGAGAATGACTGAGGGGATGGAGCAGGGCCAGGGTATTTGATTTTTTGATTGTTTGGGGAAGAAGGATTGAGATGTGATTGGCAAATAATAATATGGCAAAGTGATCACCTGCAGTGTCGTTAAAAGGGATAGGGAAGGGCACAACACACACACACACACACACAGAGAGGACAGAATTCCCCACTTCTCCCTTCTATTGCAAAAAGAGATGAAGCTGGGGAAATGGCCTAGGCTAGATATATAATAAACAAAAGACTTCCGTGGGAAAATTAGGGACATCTTCCTGGAGGAAGTTTGATGGAAAGGGCAGTTTTGATTTGGCGAGGGAGAGTGGAGAGAGAGTGTGGGTGAAGAAACTGGAAGAACCAGAGCTCTTAAAACAATTGCTTGTGTCTACAGGATTCCTAGTCCCCCAAGGCTCACCCTGAGAGAACCTGGGCTAGGGACGGAGTTAGCTCATTCTCATCTGATCCCAAATGCCTTAACCCCTGTACAGGTGTGTACCAATGAGGTCCAGTCATCTTAAGTAGAGGGCACCTCTGCCCTCAGGAAAGAACAAGGTCCCCTGACCTGTGAAGGACCTCCCCTGCATTCTGGTCTGACCAGCAAGTAGGGATTCCTTACCCTGACTCAGCAGGGAGGGGTGACTCCAGGAGGCCTGCCTTACACCTATATTCCTTCTGGGACATGGCTTAGGACATTCCAGGGGTCTAGAATACCTACCCTCTCCATCAAGCCAAAGTGGAGCCATGGCTTGCCACCTCTAGGAAATTTTCCCAAATTAACTGTACGCTAGATGAATCCCTGCTTTTTATTACCAACATCCCCTCTGTTTTACATAAGATACTGACACTATTCATTGGCATCTGCCTTCCTGTCACTTCTTCAAAACTTCATTTCCTGGAGTCACTACCCTCTCCCCAGGCTAGAAAGAAGTCCTTAGATTTGGGGGATTCCCAGGCGAAGTTGGGGCTATTTTGTGTGGGCAGTTATTCATTGGGTGGGTATAAAAATGAGGCCACTTCAGTTTGGAGAGTCAGAGACTGAAAATGGAATTGAAATCTGTAACATCATGACAATGGAAAAAGAAGCACAGTGTACTTAATCAGTGCTGGTATTAAGAACTTGGAGCTTGAAGGATTTTTGTAAACAAGTCCCAGGAAGTCTTAGAGGTGCTATAGGCTGAAAAGAAAGCCTCAGGAACTAAATTGGAAAGGCTATTTCCCCATCATGGCCATGCCCAGGAAGTAACTGGGACATGGAGTTGGGAACAAAATTACCACCCCTTCCCCTGGGGTTCTTTGGAGCCGTGTCCAGTCATCTCAAAAACACTCATTGGGTAAACTTAAGGAGTAGTAATGTTGATGAATATCAACAAGACACCTACCTTCCCATCCTTCCAGGCCTGTCTCACAAACCCTGTAAAAACTGCCATTTTTTAATGACATCAGGTGATAGACAGTCTACAATCTTAGACTATAAGGATCAGAAGGCAAGATGCTACCTAACAGATAAGGCTGCCCTGTCCCTCCTGACCAGGCCAGACTCAGCTAGGGGGAAATGTCTGTTCTTACAGTTCCTTTTCTGAGATAGGAAATAGTCATAGCTTTATCCAAAGGGCTCTGAAGGATAAAGTGGAAAGTCAAACATCCCAGGGGACCTGCAAAGTTGACATTAACCATTAATGACTACTCTTTGAGTCCTACCATTCAATCAGTTCCAAATCCATCTAACTGAATTATCCTTTAGTCTGTATCATAATTCCATCTTTTCCACAAGAAAATTTACCTTCATTTTCTCACCTCATACTCAGTTCTCAACCCCTTGCAATTTGGCTTCTATCACAATAAATATTAATAAATATTCAGTGCCTACTAAGTGCTAAGCACTGCTGGTCGGGGGGAGTCCTTGCTCTCAAGGAGTTTACAATCTAATGGGAAGATAAAACACAAAAGGAAGCTGAAAAGTATGGGCAGGGGGAGAAGGTACCCAATGAGGGGGCATGGTGGAAAAGGCAGTCAGAGAAATCCCAAAGTAGTGCACAACCAGGTGAGAAATGAAGAAAGAGGTGTGTTCTTTGTCCTGAGAACATACACCGAGGTAAACAGAAGTGTGACACATAAATCTAATTGTGCCTTTAACATCCTGTCTTCCTGAAAAGTTGTATTAATAAACTATGTAGTAATCATTTCTGACAGATAGTTGGAGTAGGTATCTGAACACTTTAGAATGTTAAATCTTCAGCCCTGCTTGACAGCCTATAAATTTAAATGTACTATAGTTTGTGGTTTAAGAGAACCATTGGGTGCTAACCTAAGGAATTCTTGGTAATTGAATTGAAACATTTATTGAGAATCTATTAGGTTAGGGATGAACATGTTAACATGGGAAAAGTAAAATCATAACATGGTTAATTTGGAAATTCGTTTTGTATGTCTATACATATTTGTAATTTTTTTTTCTTACCTTCTTAATGGGTGGAGGAGAGCAATTAACCTTGAACCTTAAATAATTGATCTTGACATCAAGTGCCACAGATATTTAAATGAAAGATTACCATACTATATAGTGATAGCTTTCTGGGAACATAAACTCCTTACTTGTAGAATTATTTCATTTTTTTACCTTTATCTACAGGCATATAGTAGGTACTTAATAAATGTTGATTGATGGAGAGGCAGGAAGTTTTGTAAAAAATAATAATGGGGGAGAGAAATTGAAGAGAACTCTAAATGCCATGCTGAGGCATTTTTTAAAATATTATAAATTTAATAATCAACAAAAACAATATATATTACAAAATAAGTACCAAAATCTCAGCCTCTGATAAGGTGCAAAAAAGACAAGCAAACCAAATGTTCTGTGTCCTTTTCAGGGCCTACCTAGAATAGTCAAAAGTATCTCTAGTTTATCTTTTAGAAAATGGGAAGAGACATGTATTGGCTGGACTTAAGGGGGAAAACATGGTAGAGAGGTCAATGAGGAAACTGCTTGTAACTCAGATAAAAGCACCTCATAACTTTGTAAAATTTTGATGTAATCAGTCTGTATTCAGTTTGGGTTACCTTCAGCTAGTGCACTTGATTGATTAAGAGGGAAGAGAAAATAAGGACCAGAATCTGAACTAGCCAGTGAACAGCCTAGCATTGAATTTGGAGTGCTGATTTAGGTGTTTACCTATCATGTGTCAGTCTTTCAGTGAATCACTCAATTGACTGAATAACAAAGTTATTCAAACATTTATCAAATACCTATTCTGTGCAAAGCAAGTGCTAGAGATAAAGATTACAATCTAATCTTCCTTTCTGAGTTTATAGTGATGTCCCCACCAAAAAAAAAAAAAGGCAGAAACATTCTTCTGAGTAACAACTAATCAGCTCAGGGTCATCTTTCCCTTCCTGACAACTCACATTGCTTAACCTCTAGAGCTATGTCTTCATATTCTTAGGACTAGAGATTTGGCACTGGAGAGGATTCAGAAGTTAACCATTTTTAGGTGAGGAAGCTGAAACCCAGATGAGTGACTTCTTGAAGTCACACAGATGGTTAAGTGGAAGATCTAGAATTTTAAACCAGATCCTCCAACTCTAAACCTAGTGCCTATATTCAGACCCATCCTAGAACCTATAATCTTATTCATCCTTCCAGGTCTCTTCCCAACTAGACTGTGAGGCTCCAAACAGCAGAAGCTGTAGGTATTCTTCCTGCCTTCCCCACAGAATAAGGTTGTTATAATAAGGAACAGTAACTAGGCAAGGTGTAACTGCCCGATAAAGATTTGGTTAATTAAGTGCCTTCTCTATGAAGATCTTCTCTTCTCTCCTCTTCTCAGAACCTGAGAAATCCTGATAATGGATTTTCCAGGATTTGTCCCTTGAATAGATTCAAGATGGAGTTGGAAGAAGTCTGAAGTGTCCAGATTTTTAGCTTCAGGTTTTCTGGGCCTCCTCCCAGACCAATACTCACCTGGGTAGGGAGGAGCCTGCCCACCTGAGGCTGTCCTTCACCTGCCCCACCCCCAGCCCTGGGAGGAACCTGAGTTCACAGTCAGCTGAGCCACTCAAAAGAGAAATACTACTAGAATCTGGGCTCTGGCTGACTTCTTCCTGGCCTCCCTCTTCATTTGGTCTGTCTGGATTTGGCAGGAGCCAGAAGTGGAGTTGGATGTGACCCAAGAACTAGAAGCCCAAAGCCAGAAATTAGGAACCCAAGCTCACAAGGAATCGGGACTACCAGGAACCAGGAGCCAGCGCCAACCAGGTGTTTCGGACTACAAACTCTTAGAGGTTTACTCTAATTGCTGGGGAGGATTGTGCTGGGACTCTGGGGAGGGAGAAATCAGAGGCCCTAGCATTATCAAGTGCTGGGAGTGTGTGATCCCCATAGGAGCCTCAGGCCCCTGCCAGGCTGAGCAGCCAAGTCCACTACCAAAGTCTCACAGGAACTGAAGCAGTCAGCCAGGAAATAGTATTTTTCCTTCTGAATTTTGAACTCCTGAAACTAACCCCTAACATCTAACCTCTAACCCTGGTCCTGCCTTCCTAGAAAGATATGGCTGTGGGCAGCCAGGAATCAGAGCCAACTGAGCCTGTGTCTAGGTCCCCAGATGATGAGGAGGAAATGGAGAGCTTGACCCCTTCAGCCCCCCGCCCACCTGAGGCTGCCCCCATGGAAAGCAAGCCCCTGCTGGGAGCTGGAGCCCAGTGGACTCTGCAACTAGTGGAGGATGTGGAAGATGAGTGCCCTATCTGTACAGAACCCTACGGCGTAGACGAGCACCTCTTGGTGTTGCTGAACTGCGGACATGGGCTGTGCCAGCACTGCCTGAACAGGCTCTTGGGCACAGCTCCTAGCACTGACCTGGGCCGTGTGCGTTGCCCATTGTGCCGACAGAAGACTCCTATGTTGGAGTGGGAGATCTACCAGCTTCAGGAAGAGTTGCTCCAGGCTGATGGGCCCCAACCCCCACCACCTCCCAGTCCCCCAGCCCTTCCTCCCCAAGGGACAGGGCTTTGGGCTTCCCTGGAGCACCGTTATCAACTTCGAGGGAACCGAGGTTGCCTCCCCTTCTTGCCTTGCCCACCATGTCTGATTTCGAGGCTCTGGGCCCTCCGGGACAGGCGGCCCTGCACCCGTTGCCTTGTCTTGCTGACAATGCTGGCCCTGGAGATGTTTGGACTGGTACTCATCTTTCTGCCCCTCCTACTGCTTGCCTTGCTCTTGATCCTACTTAACCATCTAGGCCACTGACCCTCCAGTCAGGACTCAAAAGACCTTTTGAGGGGGTGGGCCTGCTTACCATTCACCAATGATTTGCTCATCAAAGAAGTACCGCACCAGAGACTTGAGCACTGATGCATCCAATCACTGGAAGGATCCTGAATTGACTGAACTGACATTATCTCCAAGAAGATCTGGGGGACAATTCTTCCTGGAGCTAATGGTCACTGATTAGAGAGCTTAGACTTTGATCACAACTCCCTCAGCTGCCCACCTTGATAGTCAAGACTGAATAGGGGAAGAAAGATCTGGATTACTGAAAGAAGTAAGTTCACAACCTGGATAATTTCTAGAAATGATCCTTTACATTAGTGAAAAGAAGTGGGGGGGGGGAGAGAAGGCAATGAATACATTGAGATGGTGGGTGTGGAAGGTAGGGGCAGCCTGAGTGGAGGGACAATTTGGGGTGGGAAGAATAGAGTTACAGAGCAGCCAGGTTGCTTGCGGGGGAGGAGCAGAAATGTCCTTCTCTGCCCCTCTCCTTGTCTGGAGGCCTCAGATAAGGGCTGTACAGCTGGTGTTCCCTGAAGGTCAGCCAGACTTGGGCTTGAAGGTAGGGAAATAGAAACTGCTCCCACCCAATTAGGGTGGAATGTCAGGCCTCAGACTGGTAGATGAGAGACCTCTGGGGGAGAGCTGTACTCTGACCATATAGGCACATGCCTCCTCTAACAGGGATATGGCCAGCTGTGGTGAACACAGAACTTATCCAGGCATGAAAATGCCAGAGGGCACAAATGGACCTGGACCGAATTTCAAGGTGACCCCTTCTGTGGCCATCTAATTCTCCTGGAACTTGTCTCCCCCATACATACACATACCCTGAACCATAAAGGGGAGCCCATAAAAAGAAGAACCCACAAGCTTCGGGGGCAGAAACAGGGCAATGCTGGACAGGAGGGAGCAGCAGTCCAGTGTACAGAATGAAGGAGCCGAGAGTCCAATTGTACCCTGCTCTCATCAAACTACATCTTAAGAACTATATTCAAAAGGATGGTGAAAAGCTGGAGTGTGTCCAGAAGAGGGCGACCAGACGTATAAGAGGCCTGGAGACCATGTCATGAGATCACTGGTGGAAAGATTCAGGTATCATCCATTGGGAAATGGTTAAACAAATGATGATACGTGAATATAATGTAACATATCACTGTGGTGTAAGAAATGATGAATTACAGAGAAACATGGAAAGATTTGCCCAATCTGATGCAGACTTAAGTAAGAAGAGGCAAGATAACAATATAGACCATCAATTCTCAAACTTTTTGGTCTGAAGACCCTCTACACTCTTAAAAATTATTAGGGGCCCCAAAGAGCTTTTGTTTGTGAGTAGTATCCATTGGTATTTATTATATTATAAAGAAAAACTGATAAATTTAAAAATATTTATTCATTTAAATAACAATAAACCTGTTACATGTTAACACAAGCCGTATGTTTTCTATGGAAAAAAACTATTTTACAAAACAAAAAATTTAGTAAGAAGAGTGGCATTGTTTCACATATTTTTGCAGATCTCTTTAATTGGCTGGCCTAATAGACAACTGGATTTTCATATTTGCTTTTGCTTTCAATCTGCTGTGATATTGTTTTAATTGAAATATTTGAAGAAAATCCAGTCTCACACATAGATGTAGTTGGAATAGGGAGGAATATTTTAATAGGCAAATAATATCTTAATATTATTATGAAAATAGTTTTGACCTTGCAGATCCCCTGAAAGACCCTTTCAGGGACCCACAGAGGTCTGTGGACCAGGCTTTGAGAACTGCTGATACACACAATGACTACAATGTAAATGGAAAGAGCAACTACAAAACAATCAAGTGTTACAAAATTACAAAGAATGCCCCCAAAAAAGAAAAATGAGGACATCCCCACTCTATTCCTTTGCAGAAGTGAGCTGTCCACAGGCGTGTGGCACTGCATATATTTCAGACTTTTTAGATGTATTCATCAGTTTTGATTATTTTTTTCACTTCCACATTTTAAAAATAGTATTTATTGCAAGGGATGGCCCTCTGGGAGGGGGGAAGGGAAGGGGATACTAGTAGAAATTCTGTTGATGTAAAAAACAAAAGACACCAATAAGATTGTTTAAAAAATAAAAATGTTAGAACTAGAAGGGTCTTCATTAATATCATCTAGACCAACCCCTTCATTTTTCAAAGGAGAAAACTGAAGCCCAGAGAGAAAAATCCACCATTTCTGGGGTCATGATTGTTGTCTTGGAATGTTATTAGGAAGGGTTTAGATTTATTCTGTCCAGAAAACAGAACTAGGGCTAATGACTAAATGTTTTAAGGAAGCAGTTTTCAAATTAATTTAATTCTCTAAAAATCAGAGCTGTTCAAAACAGGCAACCTTTGAAGCAGGTGTGCTCTCTATCACTGAAAGCATTCAAGCAGATACTGGACAATGCCTCCCCAAATGTACCCCCCAGAAGATGTAGAAGGGAAGGTGATTAGACTCAATGGTCTCTAAAGTTACTTCCTACAGTGAAATTCTATGGCTTCTGGCTGCATCTAAACTCCTTCTGCCCTAACAGATGCTCTGGTTTTCACTTAAAAGGGTGCAAGATTCAACCAACTGGTTAACATACTGGCATTAGCATCAGGGGAAAATGTATTAGGTGGGTATGGTGCCTGGTGTGTGAAAACCAGGCCTGGGTGCACAGGATTTCCACACTCCAAAGCAGTCAGGGTCCAGCTCCATGTAGATTATATTGCTGCCTTGTTCCCATATGGTTCTACCCCATCCCCCACCCTTACCAGCCCCAAAACTTCTGATTCCCTCTCCCTATCTGGACTCAGTTCCTGCCCCCAAAAGTAGCCCTAGGGCAAAAAAAGCCTGATCCTAGGGTGCCTAGGGATTAGAGGTGAGGTCCAGTCAGAAAGCATTTGGGATTAATCAGCTAATCAGCTGGTTGATAGCCCCCCTGGGCTTCCCTTTCTCCCTCTGTGCTATGGGTTCTCACTAGCCTTAGAACTGATTCAGTCCACTTCCCTTATCCCCAGTCATTAAAGCTGTGCTGACACCTCCACCCCACCCTCCCACCCTCTTCTCCCAAGTTCAGGCACTGACAAGGTTGGCATTTTTCAAAAGGAGTCTTTACTAGGAAACTCTGGGGCAGAAGAAGGAAAGAAACACAATAGCAGAGAAGCAGATGAGTTTGCAGAGCACGCATTCCTGATCAGAGCAAGTATTGGGCCCCAGAGCAGCTTATATAGAATAAGTTACAGATCACCTGCTCCCGGGGAACAGTAAAGGGTGGTAGAAGGAGCGCTAGACTTAGAATTCGACAATTGGGGTTCGAGTCCCTTGGGCAAAAGTCATGTTACCTCTGAGCCTGTTTCCTCATCTGTAAAATGGGGATAATACTTGCATTGCCTACCTCACAAGCTTGTTGTGAGGAAAACGCTTTGTAAACGGTAAAGTGCTATAGAAATATGAACTGTCCTTAGTAGTAGTTATTGTCCTTATTTTTGCCCCTGACACTGTCTGGGTTGAACCAAGATAAAAAGGTTTACTACACATGACCCAGGGGAAAGAAGAGATCAGTAGGTCCCTGGGTTCAAGCACAGCATCGGTAGAGGACCAGAATTCCACGAAGGGTCACCCAAGTAGGAGAGGGATGGGTTGCTGTAGGCCCTTCCTGCTGGGGAATCCTTGGCTGATGGAACCACCCTAGACATGTAAATGAACTGAGCGGCCTCTGGACCCAGCTGTCCATGTTTCCCAGGCTCACACACATGGCCCAACTTGGCATAGCACACAAACGGAGCCTAGCTGCATGCTGACCTGAGACTCCAGGGGCCATGTCTTCATTGCTGGAAGGGAGAACCTGGGACCCAGCTCTGGGCAGAAGGGTTCCTGGGGAGGATGCAGACCTGTTAGGTTGAAGGGGCTCTGGAGTGGGCCTCATGGGCCTCTCTCCCATGACTACTCTGCTGTAAGGGAGGAGGGAGACGGGGGACTGGTGCTGAGGTTTAAGTCTGCCTGGGGAGGAGGGTTGTGCTGTCAGACATGGTTCCAATTAGCAATTGAAATGGCAACTTTGGCAAAGAGTTTTAATGGCAAAACTGGCTGCAAAGACCCCTCCTTGGAGGGGTGAGGAATGGGAAGCAGCAGGGCAGGGGCAAAAAAGCCTTCTTCCTAGGGGCTAGCATGGCCCCACTTCCAGGAGAAGCAGCTTCAGAGAGTAAGCAAACACCCAGGGAGATCGGAGGAAGTGAGGATCCCAGGACATGGAGACGAACATCTAGGTTGCAGTCCTTTTCTGTTGAATCCTCTGGGGTGTTCCAGAAGGCTGGCATCAGTCTGTGCCTGGCATTTGGGGGGACCAAAGGAAGCAGAAGTCCTAGAATGGAGGATGAGGAGATAGCAGGGATAGGGACGGGAGAGAGCACTACATGATAGCACAGGAGGACAGTGGGTTCCGGACGTGGCAGGTACAGGCAGCCCCACAGTACTGGCGGAAGGTCTGGTAGCAGCTGCCCTCAGACTCACCACCCCACTGGCCAGGTGGGGCGGTCAGTGCCTCCGGTGGCAGGCGACTCAAGATGGATGTATTGACAGCCAGGGCAGCCAGCCCATAGTCAGTGAAGAGCACAGTCTCCCTGCGGCAAGTAGGGCAAGAGATGAATTTGTACTTGGGGCAGGACTCATAAAGGATTTGCAGACACTGCTCGCACACAGAATGCAGACAGGAGAGCACACGTGGACGCCGCTGGGTCAGGTTATATGTGTGCCCACAGGTTGGGCACTCCAGCGGCTCCCCAGCTGGGCCAGGCCGTAGCACATATTGGTTCACAATGACCTCATCACCAGGAGCTACACGGGGGAAGCCCAGCTCAGCACTGCTCTTTCGGGGCCTCCTGGGCGGAGGTGGTGTGCGAGGTACCCCTTCCAGGGCAGGCACATCCCCACTGCAGGCCTGATTAACAATGATCTCGGTGTCAGATGGCCAGGCCCTCTTGGGGGCCAGGGCAGGAGGAGGCCTGGGGGTGGGTGTATAGCGGGGGGTACCCGCCTGGAGCTCTGGAAACTTCTCAGGGTGGACAATCTTCATGGTCTCCATCTTGAGGATGACCTGTGGGCCCTTCAGGCAGGACATGAGGAGGCCGGGCCAGCCGCTCGCCTCGGGCCCAGGGGGCGCCGGCATCCGGCTAGTGGCACTTAGGCCGGTTGGGCCCTGGGTTGGGGGTGCTGGTGAGGACCCAGCATCGGGGACAACATCCTGGCACTGCCAGGTTTGGGGTGGTCCCCGGCCGCCCCCCTGACTCCCAGGGGCGGCCGGTGAGAATGTATGGGGACAGATCTGGGGGGGAGACCCCCCCAGGAGCCCCAGCTTCCTCCCAGGGCAAGTCTCAGGAGAAGGGGAAGTGACAGGCGGGGTGGATATAGGGGATCCCCAAGGTATAGGTGCCTCCCCCAGGGCCCCTGCCCTCTATCTGAGGAGGTATGCAGGAGGCTTCCTTTCTGGCCTGAGTCAGTGGTCCCAGCAGCCAGGCAGCTGGACACCCGGGTACTCTGTGGCTGCCATGGCTCCAGGGCGGGGCTTCCCAGGGGGGCTGGTTACCTTACCCTCCCACCAGTCATGGGGCACCAAGGAGAAGAGGAAAGAAACTGAAAACAGAGACCAAAGGGTAAAGGAGGTCACCAGACTGAAGGAGACTTGACCCTAGAACCAACTGCCTGACCCCTGAATCACCCCCATCCCAAAACCTGGGAACCTGACCTCTGACTCCCAACCCCGGTCCAGAAACCTAAGGACCCCTTCCCCCTCCCGCCCAGGTGTGTGCTCCGCCCCCAAAGCCCTTGGAGAAAGGAGGGGATGGAGAAGGGACAGGGAGGGGTTAGCAGCGTACCCCTGGGCAGACGGAGCTCAGGCCAGGGGAGGCGAGAGCCCGTAGGGTCTGGTCGCGACTACTGCCCCAGCCCCAGGCCGCCCTCCGCCCTGCCTCCAGTCCCGTCCGTCACCTGGCTCGGTCCCCCGCGGCTCCGATGCGGCCCCAGGCCCGGCCAGCCCGGGCGCGCCTCCGCCGAGGTTATCTGAAAGGCAGAGACGGGATGCGCCGCCCGCTCCCTGGCTCGGCCCGAGGCGGCTCTGTCGGCACGGCGCGCTCCAGCAGCTGCTCGGAAGGAGGGCGAGAGAAGAGGAGGAGCAGGGCCCGGCTTCTGGGGATGCGGCGGGAGGATGCAGGGGCCCGAGCCGCGGCGGGGGCGCGGGCGGGGGGCGCGGCGCGGCCGGCTCCGCTGGGCTCGGCGCGGCGGCGGCGGCGGCGGCAGGTGCGTGCGGAGCGGAGCGCGCTCTGCGGCGGAGACGCGGGGACCGCAGTGAGTGCGCGCTGCGCCTCGCGTCCCCCTCGCTCGCTCCGCGCGGCTGCAGCGCCTCCCCGGGCCCCCGACCTGACCCCGCCCCCAGCTCGCCCGACCAGACCCTCCTCACCGCCCCCACTGCTTCTGGTTTCCTCCCTACTCCAGCCCCCCACTTCTCATAACAGGAGGGAAGGTGACTCAGGCCCCTCTAGAGGCCAGAGGGTTGAGGTTCCGAGGCTGAGCCCCCACCCAATACACAAACACTCCCCCTGCACAAACATTTCTTGTCACCCAATTCTAACAAGGGGCCATCCAGTGTCCCGAGGGTCCCCCCTCCCCCTCTCTCCGAGTCCAACCTGGAGGTGGGAGGTGGGAATACTTCACGCTCATAGCAGGAGCTGATGCCCAGCAGAGCCCTAACTGTCACAGCCCTGGCTGTGTGTGTGCACACACACACACACACACACGCACGCTATTGGGTGTAACGAATGACATAGGAACTCCAGCTCCAGGGACTCGAGCTCCCACTCCCAGGCAAGGCCTCAATCCTGGGGGGGCCAGCTCCAGGCTCTGGGAGCCAGGCTCTGCCACAGGAAATCCGGGCTTTCTCCTCCCAGGCCATAGTCCCTGCACACACAATGCTGTCTGGGGGAGGGACAGGGATGACTGGGGGAAAGGGGAGACCTGGTCAGAATGGGTTGGAAGGAATTTTTTTGTGTGGTCTAGTGCGAGGGCACTTGTATCTCTTGGGATGCAAAGCCACAAGTGATACCAGGCCATCAGGAAAACATGACTGTCCCTCTCACCTGCACTTAGTCCATCATACTTAAATGCTGCATTGGCTGAATTCAAACCAGACCCCTTCTCTGCTCCCCTGGTTGTCTCACAAACATACGGCATGACTCACCATAACCCTCTACTCTCTCTGCTGATTTGGTCCTTTGCAGCCTTTCAGTACAAGCCTACATTTTTTTAAACCTGTGAACTGGGGGCTGAGAGACTGGCCAGAGGGAGGAGCCCACAGCTCCTATGGGTTGGTCAAGGAAAATAGCTTCTTAACTCTCTCAGGCCAGCCTGAGGAGAAAGATTTGCCTTAGGAGACTTGGACCCAGGGAGTCAGTGAGTTGCCTGCAGATCCCAGAATCTGTGTTCAGCTCACACATAGCCCATCTATGGAAAATAAAATTTGAACTGAGGGGAAAAAAAGCTATCATAGGAATTAGAGTAACATTTAGGGCTGGAATCATCATCTCCTCCTTTTACACATAAATCTACCCCTCTCAGACACGCTGCTACAAACAGAAGCCCAGAGAAGTTAAGGTCCCCCCTCTATGGTCAACCAACTGTTCTACATCCTCAAACTTTTCAGCCAATATGCCTACCCCCTCCCCAATTTAACTGAAATCAAGTTTTCTTCCAAGGACTCCATATCTCTTGTAACCTTTTTCACTGGAGGCATTCCTCCTACTGCCAAAAATTAGAGACTAAGAAGAATGGTCAGCACATCTCTCACTCCCCATTGCATTTCCAGAGCATGTCTCTACCATTAGCCCTGAATAACCTTTCTTCTTTCAAAGTCCTTTCAACTCCCATATACTTTCCTCTTCCCATCTTGGTTACTGGCACCTTCTGACTTCCAGATCATTCTCTCAACTTTTTCAATTTTTAAAAGTCCTACCAGCCTTAGCCTATATACAGGTGCTTGTACCTTCACCATCCTGTTAGTGCCTCAAACATAAGGCTCCACTTCATGTCTACCCCAGGATGCCTTACTCCTTAAAGGAATATTATCACTTGAGTGTGTAACCCAGAGTCCATTGGCATGGGATTCTTACCTGGCTTACGGTTTTTCTCTCCAAACTATCTTCTGCCATCATCCTCAGTGACTTTATTTTTTGTCTTTGCTTTTTTTCTTTTTTGGGTGAGGCAATCAGGGTTAAGTGGCTTGCCCAGAGTCACACAGCTAGTGTCAAGTGTCTGAGGCCGAATTTGAACTCAGGCCCTCCTCACTCCCAAGGCCAGAGCTCTATCCACTGCGCCACCTAGTTGTCCCTCTCAGTGATTTTAATATTACTGGTGACAGTGCCACTAGAAACCTGCTTTCTTAATTTGTCTACAACCTCAACTCCAATGACTTTCTCCGCCCAACAAGAACATACTTTAGACTTTACAATCATTCAGAATTATACCATTTTGAAGATTCTAACCTTGGAATTCCACTTTTTTTTAACCCAACTTTTTTTTATTGTTTTTATTTTACAGCCATTTATGCCATGAATTTGTAAGGGATTGGTTCCAACAGCTCAGATTCCTTACTATTGGTTCTCACAAAGTGTGCTTCTCTGGGTGGAGTATGCTGGTGTTTCAGTTGAACCCAAGTGCCTTTTTCTCTAGTTTCCTTCTTCTTCTGATCATTTTCCTTTACCAGCTTCAGGAAACTATCTCTGCTCTTAGAATAGGCTCAGTATGCCCATTAATTGTCTTGGCTAGAATCTTGCCCTTAACCTGTTTGTTTACAACAATGCCTACAGGATGTTGAGTAACATTATAGACCCGTCCAGTCTTGCCACAGTAACATTTGTAGGGCATTCCTTGCTGAACTGTGCCCATTCCCTTGATATCTACAATATCACCTGTCTTGTATATTTGCATATACATAGCCAAAGGGACAACACCATGTTTTCCAAAGGGCCTAGAAAACATGTATAGTGTCCCTCTCCTTTTTCCTTTTGTGTTCATCATTTTGGCATCTCACTCAAACACTCTTTCCCAAGCCTCCCTGGTAGGAGCCGCATGAGCCCCACGTACCTGGAATATGGTGGAACCAGCGGAAAGGAAGAATAGAATTCCACTTTTCAAGAACAACCTCCTATCCCTCTACCTCTCTCACTCTCTTATTCATATTATTCATCCTTGTAAACTTCAGTTCCTTGAACCTTTCCAATTCTCCCATTCCATATCCCCTACCCTGGTTTTATTTGCCTCCATACCCAAGCCTTGATGCCATGGTTTGCCATTTGAATGTATTACTAACTACTATCCTAGGATGTTTTGCCTCCCTGATATTCCTTGTTTCTGAGTAACCCTCAACATCTGTTTTTTTTTTTTAATTTTGTTTTGTTTTGCTTTTTTGCTCCTGTTCCAGGGCTGCTGAAAGTGCTTGGAGAAATAAATGCAATTTATTAGACCATAGATTTAGTCTTGGAAGGAATCTTAGAGGTGCTCTAATTCAACCCCTCATTTTACAGATAGGAGACCTTGGCACCAAGAAGGTAAGAGACTTGCTCAAGGTCACACAGGTAGTAATTGAGCAAGGATTTGAATCTTCTTATTCCAAATCCAGATATTTTTACTCCAAGGCAAGAGCTCTTTTCACTGGATGATTTCATTAATTTCACCCACTATAAATTGAAGGTATGTGTACTATCAAAGCCAAAGAACACATTCCTATTGTCTGTTAAAAAATTACAAACTTATTGTTTTCAAGGAGTGTACTTTGTAGGAAACTTTCAATATTTCTTCAAAAATGTTTCAAAGTGTATCAATAAATTTTAAAAATAATTCATGGTATATAATTTCAGCTGACAGCTTGACAATCCTGTTCTACACTTAGCAACTCTTTATTAATTTCCAACAGCAACAGTTTCTTCTATCATCTCACCACCAACCATACTGTCACTGTCCACAATTATAGCAGATGACTTAGCCTCTTTCTCCCTGGAGAAGGTTGAGGCCATCCAGTTGCATTTCTTCAGCTCTCTTTCATTCCTCAAACCTTCTTAGCATCGTTGCCCTTTTTTCTTTCTCTCTGGTTATAGAAGATGAGATGTTTCTAGTTTTCACTATGGTTAACCCTTCTTCCTGAACCCTTGACCTCATTCTCTCCAGCCTCCTTCAGTACCTTGACCCAGCAGTCATCCCTCCTCTTTCATGCATCTTTAATCTCACATTCACCAGTGACACTGACAAATATCCACTTTAGGAATATCAACTTGGTTACTGTGTGGAGGATAAACTGTAGAGAGAGAAACTAGATGCAAGGAGACTAGTTGGGATGATAATCCAATAGCCCAGGGAAGAGGTGATGGGGTACTGAAATAGGCAGTTGTGGTGTAAATGGTGAGAAATGGATGGATAGGAGAGATGTTAAGAAGGTAGAATTAGCAAGATTTAGCAACTGATTAGATAGAAGGTGTGATAGTACAGTGTTGACAATTCTCAAGTTTTGAATCTGGGTGACTGGAAGAATGTTAGTAGTCTTAACAGAAATATAGAAATAAAAAGGAAGTGTGGGTTTAAGGGGTTTTTTTGGACATAATGAGTTTGAGTTGTCTATGGTCATGCAGTTGGAGATGTCCAGCCAAAGAGGTGGTGGGAAGCAATCTCAGGAGAAAGATAATGGCCAGATATGTAGATCTGAGAATTATCTGCATAGAGATGATAATTAAATTCTTGGGAGCTGATGAAATCATCAAGGGGGTGGTAAAAAAGAATGAAAAAGAGACAGCCCAGGGCAGAGCCTTGGGGTACACCCATGCATGGCAGAGGAGAGGGAATGTATGACAGTTTTGCAAAGGAGACTGGGGATTGGTCTGACAACAAGGAAGAGAACCACAAGAGAGAAGTGTCATAAAAACCCAGGGGAGAGAAGTACCCCCAAAGTAAGGGATGGTAAACAGTATTAAACACTGCAGAGAAATCAAGGATGAGAATGAGGACTGAAAAGTACTATTGGAAAAACAACGTAGAGGAGGAGGAGGAGGAGGAGGAGGAGGAGGAGGAGGAAGAAATCATTTGGGACCTTAGAATAGTGTTAGGTGAGTTCATCATCTTATAAGATCTCATCAGTCTTAATATTCCACTTCATCACTACCCTCTGGAGGGTAGGGCCATGAACTCCAAACCTTCACTTAAGGAAAGAGAGAGAACAGCTCAGACATCTGATTTCTCACCAGACTGAACTACTTTGGGACTTCTCTGACTGGCTTTTCCACCAAAGCCCCTCATTTACCTTTTCTTCCTCCCCTTTCGCCATATTTTCAGCTTCCTTTTGTGTTTCTTCTTTCCTGTTAGACTGTGAGTTCCTTGAGGGCAGTCAATATCTTTTTTCTTTTTTTTTGCATTTAGCACAGTGTTTAGCACATAGTAGGCACTTATTTTGTGCAGTTCTGCCTCACTTAAATCCAATTCACTTGCAAGTCAAGACATCACCCTCCTGATGTCATTGGTCCTCTTCCAGAACGAAGGACCAACAACAATAACAACAATCTGATTGATTAAATGACTGAGTGATTGAGGTAGAATCCAAATCACAAAGGTCTGAGAACTGAGTGTGAAGTGAGAAAGTGAAGGCATATTTTCTGGTGGAAAAGATGGAATAATATAGACTAAAGGATAATTCAATTAGATAGATTTGGAACTGCTTGAATGGCAAGACTCAAAGAATAATCATTAATAGTCAATGTCAACTTGGCAGGTTCCCAGGAATCTGTGCTTGG